AAATACCTGCATATTTCTTCTGCAAACGGCTTCCTTTCTTATTAGTCCACACTCCACAGCTGGTCACGGGCCTTTCCCGGTTTGGACACGATTGACGGTATTTGTCACGCTCGTGTGGCTGAACCACGGCTCCAGACCGAATGTCGGTCATGATGGCTAGTGTCTAGTGTAGTGATATGATTATAGTGCACGAGTGTGTGCGCAAATACATGTACTATCTCTATTCCCTCACTCTAATAGTCAGATGAAAACAAACGTAATTATATGCTAAAAATAAATAAAACTAAATATTTACCAACATTGTAAAGAAAATACACTTAATAAAACCATGTGCTGCGTAAGTTACAGCACTAGTTTTCAACTGAGTGCAAGATTTACGAGTATAATTTATATGTATACTGAATGACCTTTTTTTACCGTCTGTAAAAAATAGGGTGTAAAATTTGAACGGAGTAGAAGCCTATGGCACTGATATTTTACAAAAAAATAAAAACAAAATTTTGAATTAAACTTTTCAAATTTTTTTAACAATTACTTTGTCCTTTGTCCTTGAGCCTGTGACCCTGCGAAGTGACAAGTTCAAAGATTCCTACTTTTTTTTATTATCGTTCGTAAAGTAGGGGGATATGATTTTAATTTCGATAGATTTTAATTTATTTATTTATTTCATTGTAATTTTTTGTTTTTCTTTTTTGTAAAAGATCGGAGCCGTAGGCTTATACTCCATTCAAACACCCTATTTTTTTTCCTGATGGTGATAAAGGCCATCCAGTATATAAATGGACTAATAATGGATTTAGCCTTTTTTTAAATAGGATAACACGTGCGTTCAATCATCTACAGTAGTTTTGTATTAAAAAAATAAGGGAAATAAAAAACACAACTCGTATAAAAATTTCTAAATAAATTTAAAAGAAAAAAATAGGCTACCTACTAATGATATGCAATTGTCTTATTAGTTTCAATTTGTTATTTTTAAATTTTTGAAATATTGCAAATTAAGCCATCATATGTAAAAGTTGAGTGCCAAACCGCTCGTTGTTTAAGAAACACATTTGGTGTGGGACAGGAATTCGACATGACTGGAGAGATTTAAGGCACTGCGGTGCATAAAATGCACCATAGATTACTATCTATCAATATATAAATTCTATATTTACATAAAAGTAGAAAAACGTAATTTAATTCAATTTCCGAAACAATGTTCTTATTGCAAATTAAAATCAAACGCGAAACAATGGAGGTGTTCATTTCGTCATTTTACTTTCTGTAACGAGCATAAATGGAACGATAATTTACTGTTAAAATGATAGTGAGTGATGTAGTCAATTAGGCCATGAACATTGTACTTAGAATAATGTGTCACATAAAACAGGATGCACTAGAAACGATATGATTTTTCCTAATAGATTAACATGATTATATTATATACGTAAACATAAGAAAAGTAAACAACTATTCTCGTTGGTTTAATGGTGGTAATACGCGGTTACTGATCATGGTTCGAATCCCGGATCGGGCCAAAATCGGTTATTGGGTATTTCTGTCGAGAAATTCTCAGTAGCAACTCCAAGTCAGAATGTAGGCGGTGTTTCACGCCCGTGCCTCACGAAACACGGTCGTGTAGAATTACCGCGCCTTGGACTATGAGAGTGAGAGAAAAGAGATTAGAGAGTGAGAGTGCACCTGCGCTTGCGCCGTAGGCCCATCTCTTGGACACTATAATCCTGTCCTGCGCAGATGGCTAATCTCCGATGAAACTGGCCCCGGGATCGAATTTCGGTCCGGATGACATTATTACATTCTAAGGTACTATACCATAGGTGCACAAAAAATAAAATAAATGTATATTGCCGTTAAAAGAGAACATATACACATGATGATTTCATATAAAATTATAATAAAGTTATAGTATAGAAAACGTCCCACTGCTGTGCACAGGCCTCTTCTCATTTCTGAGAGGGTTTTAGGGTAAGGAAGTGTCCGCCGCGTTGCCCCAATGCGTGTTGGCAAACTTCCCATGTCTTGGAAATATTTTTTTCTTATTCCTCAGACATGCAGGTTCCTTCATCGCCGAGCACGTGGTAAATCAGCACTTAAAATTGCAATTAACATTTTCATTGGTGCCGGTGGGCATCGAACCCAGATTACTCGCGTACTGTGATATTTACAGCTATCGTTAACCATCTGAGCTATAAGGCATGTAAAATGCTTTAACCAATTTGCCGTCGTCCGTTATCTTAACAGCTTATCGAAAATCCACTGCTGATCATACAGGAGAAAGACTTTCTCATAAGGGGAATATAATGAAATATAAATTTGACAGGAATAATTGCCATAGTTGCCAAGTTAGGCCGGCAGGTTGCCAGTCGCAGTTTATATTGTTTAATAGTTATTAGGACGGACGCTGGTGCCTATCTCCACCTCTTTAACCTTTTGCCTTTCCTGCACGAGAAGACTGTCTGCGGGAATCATCGAGATACTATCGTACACAGACAGCTAGTACATATATCGATTTTTTTTTCATTTGCATGTCATATTCTAATTTCCTTTGAGTTTTGCACTAAAAATTGGTTTAATACTAAAGGAGATTAGTTGAATACTCAAAGCTAATTTCGGGTTGAACGTCATGCCCTTTTCCGTCATGGAAAACAAGTTGATTTTACTGCTAGGACGCGCCAATACAAATTTCATATCAAAACGAATGCTATTACTACATGCTACAACTTTTTATTGGGGAATATCGTTAAAATTGGGTGCGTTTGGCAGAAAAAAGCGCTAGCAAGCGCTTACAAGCGCTGAAATAGTTTTCGGCCAGGACACGATACTACTTCAGTAGCGCTGACACAATCCGCCAGTTTTGCTTATTTAATTTGTTTGTTTTGAAGTAGAGTTTTTAAGTTGTTTTGTGCAATATTAGTTTTAAGTAATATAATAACGTGAATAAACAGATAGATGTTATGAAAAATTCATGATTGGTAAGTTTTTAATATGAATACTTTACAAACACATATTTAAATTAGGTTAGGTTCCCCGGTTAAAACTAACATCATGTCCTGGAGGAAAATAGCTACTTACGATTTGACAGCGCTTACCGCTTACGATCGCCATTTTGCTTACCAGCGCTTCCTAGCGCTTTTTTCTGCAAAACGCACCCATTGTGACATGTTTGGAAACGCGGTCGACAATCATCTTCTGACGTGTAGTGTTTATAGCAGACCTTAATAAATTGTAAAAATAAAACTTTAAATAAGAAATAAAAGTCGACTCCAAGTTTAATTTATGAACCTCTTAACTGGACTAAGGAATATCATTAGCTCAAGGTAATAGATATACATATAACTAGAATGTCAAAAGTGTCACAGAGAATTTCATTGTAAGTAGGGTTGCGATCGTACTAGATCAAACAATCCAGAAGGTTGAAATAAGGAAATATAAATCTTACCGCTAACGTACCTGACGTTAAGCAACGGTGAATTTCGTAAATCTTATTCATTTTTACATTACACAGTTCAACATCAAACCTATACAGGAATATTGAAGTTGTCTTCGTCAACAGTACTAATTCACCGAAATGAACCGAAAATGACGACTTTATCAAAATTGAGTTTATAAAAAATCTTTCCGTTCGTATTGTCTTTATATGTTTTTCGGTAAAGTTTTCGAGAGTACATAGGTATATGTATTTCTTTCGAACGCTCTGTAGCCTAAACGACTTGGTAGATTTTAACACATGAGGTGTCGTTAGATGCTTAATTTTGAGAGCGACATAGGGTATAAAAAATTTTTCTTCAGAGTAACTTTTTTAATGACGGTCTTTTTTAATTAAGGTGTACTGGGGTAATTCCGACTGGAATTTTTACGAGATGACTAGAGGTCTATATTTCGGTTAGTTAGGTAAAGTAACTTCAAATTTACTGACAATAGTATGCGACTTCTGTTAACTTAATGAAAATATTTAATCTATGGATAGGTATATTAGATTCATAACTATGTAGTTGGATTCACTAAATAGAGCATTTTGAATTATTGAGTTATAATTTTTTGGTACAGGGGAAATTACGAACTATCTTGGGGATATTCCAAAATTATTCAAAAGTTTATTTTATTGTACTTTGACCGAAGGCTTACATTTCTCTTTCAATCGTATTTAACCCTTACACAAAATATCATGAATTTTAGTAATAGTATCGCTAATATTATTTTTTATGGTCTTGTATTTCGGAATTACCCCTAGAAGAGATTGTGGTTCTCAACATTTCAATTAAGTTTTTTTGTTTATTCTCAGTAATTGTCACCCACTTTATTGCCAGTAATTTTATTTTCACTGGTGACAAACGAGAAAAATGTCAAAGTTGTCATCGAAGTTGCCGTAGAAGTGAGTTGACAATAATTGATAGTTCTGACAGATCTCTGCGCGGAATAGAACAAGTAGTATAAATGATTATATAATTTAATAATGTTGTTATGTTTTAATAATTTAATTTATTATTATAAATTAATATTATTATTTTAATCCTGATAAAAATTAATAAAATGACTGCGGATTATTAAAAATTTGTACATTACCAAAGAGACAAACATGTTGCTTTTAGCAGGGGTTAATGCTCTTATGAAATTTAACGGTCAATTAAGATGAGCTGAAACTGTAGATACTTGAAGAAATAAAGCATAGGTAGAGATTTTTATAAAGATACCTTTTATTCAGTGCTTTTTGCAAAATAAAATAAACTTTCTACATATATTATTGTCTTACACTTAAATCAATCATCCTTAAAAATGTTAACTCAAAGTAGGAACTTACAGTCACAACCACCATTTTCATTTTCCTTTGGTATAAAGTACTTAAGCACTAACCTTATCAAATAAAAAAACTTTGCTGCTAGCAAAACTAAAAGTATAAAATGCTTTAATTTTTTTTTTAAATATAACAAAATTGGTTAGGACATTGTAAAAACATCGCATCTATATAATAATGATATAAAATCACTGTTACATAATCAGTCAAAGTAAATTGTATCTTCATAATTAAGTAAGTAATATTCTTTTTCGTTATATTTTTTTAAATCTATCTTCTTCACTATTAATGACTTTGGAACCTTATCAATATCCTTTCTTTTAGTCGTTATAAAGGTAAGGCGCTGCTGTGGTCTCACGGTTTTTAGAAAATTGATAGTGAAGTATATTTCTTCATTTTTTATTATATTTTCTATGAACCCCACAAAATACTTCCATTTATTCCTTATCAAATATCTGACGAGTACTGAATCATTTAGTTGGTAATTTTCCTTTATAGCAAGGTTCTCTTCTTGAGTCTCGTATATTATTTCTTTACTTTCCTGTTTAAGTAGCAGTTGCTCATCTTTGTCCTTTTCTTTCGAGAATTCTCTAGTTGTCATATTTTTTTCTTTAGTAAAAACATCAATATCACATTCGTAATTTCTTTAAATGAGTCTTTCCTCTTTATTTTCTTCGACTTTTTCTTCCACTTTGTTGTCTTTCCCTTTACTTCTTTTGCCTACACCTTTACCCTTAATACAGAGAGGATTTAAATTCTTGTTAGTGAGAAAACCATTTTCAAAGTATTCATCCGTCAATTCTTCAAAATCAACACATTCCATAGTATCAGAATCACTATGTTAGCTCATAATGTCGGATACACTAGTTATGCTGTCAAGTGAAGGCTGGTGTTTTCGTTTCTTCTTATTCCTTATGCCTGAAGGGCCTGGATGATGTTCTTGTTGCTGTGCTGTAAATATTGTTATTTCAGAATCTTCCTTATTTTTTACTTTTGCTGTTCTTTTTTTGTAAATTTTACTGGGGTTTGCTTTCGCTTTCTTAGCTTTTACAGTTTCTTCTAAAATTTTCTTACCCATTGTTGCTGTTTTCACTTCAGCACCTTTAGTGACACGTTTCCTTTTTGTCAGTTTATTATCTTTTTTGTCCTGTTGTATTTTTCTTAAAAGCAGTTCTTCGAATGTGCATGATGGCTCGGGTAGTCGTTGAGCTTGAAGTAACTGTGGAGATGCTTTGTTGATTATAACGTTCGAGATTATTTTTATTTTTGATAAATTTTGAGTTGATGTTTGATTAGAATTCTGTAAACATACAGGTATTTGGGATGGTTGTTTTGCGACAAAACTCAAAGTCATGGATATCAGGTTTCGATACCAGAGACAACAAGGTATCCTTATCAGTGTTTGACGATTTCTGTAAACATGCAGGTAGTTGGGTTAGCTGTCTGGCCACAAAACTCAAAGTTTGGATACTGGACTTTGAAATTTGCGACAGCAAGGTAACGTCATCGGTATTTGCATTTTCAAGAGCATCATTTGTTGTTGCAAGTTGATTGTTAAACAAGCCAATACAAATTTCTTGTAGTGACTTCGGATTTTTTGGTGTTGGTTGTGTGCAAGCTAAATGTTCTTCTAATGTCTTTTTTTGGTACCTTTTATATGCATCTGGATCATATTTGTCCACAGGTATCACGTGCGCATTGAAAGGGAAAATCCCAGCTTTTCTAAATCCACTTTTGATAATATTGGGGTTTGTTTCTCTCCAAGTATCTGCCAGCGCTTGAGCGAAAACTTTTTTTGACATTTTCATGCCGACATTTCTAGGCTGCCACTCTACTAGTTTGGCATCCCATATTGACTTGAATGACTTGAATACTGCTATATCAAGAGGCTGCAGCAAATGTGATGTGTGTGGCGGTAGTTTAAGAATTGTGATACGGTTTCGTATTGCTAGTTCCACAACTCTTACATGGACGTGAGTTGAGTGACCATCATAAACAATAAGAACCGGGCGCTCCTCGCCCAGACTTGGGATAAGAACTTTTTCTATATAATTATAGAAAATGTCTGTTTTCATCCACCCTTTAGTACTGGCTGCATACGATAATTCGAAATCGTAATCACCACCAACCAGTTCAGCCATCCACTGATCCCAAACAAATTTGCCTTTAAATACAATCAAAGGCGGCAACTTCTTGCCATTAGCGCTTGCGCCTGTCAACATAGTGATATTTTCTTTTCTACTCCCATGGGTGGACCTCGCACAAGGTTTATTTATTTGTCCACATACTTTAGTTCTGGATGGATCCAGGCATAACGACGTTTCATCTAAGTTCCAAATGAGTTGGGGACTTTCAAAAAGATCCAAATCTTTTAAAGTATTTTCGAGCAAATTGAAATATTCACCAATGACGAATGGATCTGTCATTTTTCTTCTTACAAATTCTACAGGCTGTGCTTTTTTAATTGATAATCTATGTCGTTTCCGGAAATTAATGAACCAGTCTGTGCCTGGGACATTATTTTTAAATAGTGTTTGAATCTTATTCACCCGCACATATTCAGCGACAAGCTCCATAATTTCAAACCTAGACAGACCATATCCCCATTTTTCCATAATTCTGACAGTTTCTGCTAATTTTTTCTCATCTTCTAGGCGTATAACGGTTGGTCTACCTGCATTTGGTCTGGTAGTTTCTTTACCTTTTTTTAAGTTTTCATGAAGAGTCGTCATTGGAATTTTGTACTCTTGCGCTGCTCTATATTGCGTAAATTCTCCATTTTTTACCTTTGCGATCGCTTGAGCTAAATCTTGTGGAGTGTATGATTTAATTTTCTTTCTTATGTAAGTCCGAGGCATAATGGCTCTGAAAAAGAAATAAGTATCTACTTACTTAACATATACGTCACACCTGTATTTCCCGAAGGATTGGGAATACATTAATTTTAAATTACAATGTTATTTAAAACAGAAACTTTAAAATAAGTTAAAACCGCCTTCAAAAAAGAACGCAATATGTGTGAAACAGTTTAGGAAGTAGATGCTCGAAGTTGATTCTTTGATTTGGTTTATTGGGTAACGAATTTCGAAACTGCCTCACACACATTATTGTGTTCTTTTTGAAGACGGTATTAACTTTTTTATTTTTCTATTTGGAGTGACTTCCACATACCACTTTTTGCTGTTAATTAATTCATAGGCGAAGTAAATTAAATGTCGTTTATTGAAGCTTATTAACCCATTTGTTGCAGTTATTTTTAAAAACAATTCAACCAAAATTATTAAAATATGGAACAACGTCCGTTTCCTCTACCAATTAAAAAAAGAACAATTAAAATCGGTTCATAATCGCCGAAGAAATCGAGTAAAATACACACAAAACAGATATACAGTCGAATTAGAAAACCCTCCTTCTTTTTGAGGTCGGTTAATAAGTAATGATTAGTAATATAGAATCATTATCTACAATAAACCCAAGTTTTCCAACAAACTTCGAAATAATAATAAAATTTTGCATACTTCATGTAATGTCATGCAAATCATCTGATCGTACAGATTGAGAATCACTGTCAATTTCTATGGAAAAACTAAGTGGGGTTATTGCGGAATGGTTATACATCGGAATCACCCCAGAGGGGTATGTACGAAATAATATTGAAAACACAGCTAGTACGTTGTTTTCCTGTCACGAATTCGCTAAAAACTATAACGTATCGCAAAAACAAGCACTTATTGAAATAACTTACCAGAATTCCGAGATAAATATGTTGGGGTTATTGCGAATCAACAAAAATGGCGCGAAAAACACTCTTATGACAAAACTTGATGCTACGCACGTTATGTTGACACTAGCTTCTCACGACGACTGATGCGGCGAGGATAATCAATATGGCGTCTAAACCAATGTTGCCAATAGGAAAATATCGCTACGATTAGTAGAATCTTTGAATTTTCGGAATATACCCTTTTTCGGAATTACCCCAGTGCACCTTACCTAAGTTTGTTATTTATCTTTATATTTTTACTTTCACATTGGAAGCAATATATCTAATTAATAACGGCCTCACGGCTTCCAACACCAATCTGGAATATTTTTGCTGTTTAAAGATAGCCCTTTATTTTGGGAAAATCCACCGCAGTCCTACTAGAGTTGGCAACACTATTTATAACTGACAAAGGTAGAATTGGCGTGTGCGGTCCGTCTTTGTCAATTGTTCCGTAATTGTCGCCGTTTAACATATTTAACATCTGTTAGCGGCAATCAAATCGATTGGAATGCGCCCACAGATGGCTAGACGTAGTGATGTGGTTATGCGAGATCGATACGTGGAAGATTTTTATTTTATACTTCGTTGTAAGGTTTCCCTAACTTTTAAGGAAAAATATTCCATTCAACTGTGATATGTATATTCTTATGTAATGTATCTCTAGCCTTTTAAGTCACCTGTAAACATACGCCACCTGCCATACGTTACTAAGATTATGTATATTTTTTTCTACACTGTTTATATAGGTATATGCACGTTTTAGTATTATTAGGTATTTACCTATAAAATTGTCGTTTTTTATGAAATAAATTAACATAATTTTTTTCTAAATTTATTATTTTTTTAATCAAATCTTCACCCATGCTTTTTTGCCAGCCGCAGTGGCAGTTTATTAATCCCCTTTATGAAGAAATTAGTTGGACGGGATGCAATAAATTCTTCAAAAGCATTTTGTGCTCCCCCTCAGGTATTGTATTTTTTCCCCGCCAAAAAGTTATCCAAATTCTGGAAAAAGTAGAAGAACGTAGGCGCAAAGTCTGGTGAGGTGGTGAGTACGGCGGATAACGGTGAGCTTCCAACCCCAGCTCTTGTAACTTAGAAACCGTCAGTTGTACAGTATGAGATTGCACGTTGTCGTGTAGGAGCAACGGGGACAAGCGATTGACGAAACCTGGTTGGAGACGTACAAGCTTCTTCACCATTGTGTTCAGTTCTACACAGTACACATCTGCAGTAATGCTCATCCCGTTTGGTAAGATGCTGTGATGAATCACACCAGTGCTAGACCACCAAATAATGACCATCACTTTTCTAGGTCTAAGTTTTCGTTCAGGGAATTGTTTAGGTGCTGAACCAGGATCCAACCAACTTGCTGAGCACTTAATATTGTCAAACTTAATCCATTTTTCGTCGCAGGTAACAAAGCGGTCCAAAATTCCTTCGTTTAAGTGCCTGTTGAGCAGTGCAAGGCACATCTTAACGCGCACCTTGCGCTTACGATCATTGAGTTCGCGGGGCACCCATTTGTCAAGCTCTTTTACCTTGCCAATTTGACACAAATGGACCAATATTGTTTTGATGCTAACGTCGAAAGCTGCCGCTAATTCAACCGTAGATTGAGTATCATCAGCCATCACAATCGCCTTTAATTCGCCATTGTCGATCAAAGTTTTTGCATGTCCACGCGATTCATATTTCTGGTCGAAATTTCCAGAATGGATGTGGGCAAACCAATAACAGGTGGTGCGTTCGCTTGTAGTATTCGCTCCGTAAACTTCGTTAATGTAGCGTGCAGCTTGTGCTGCGTTGCTGCCATGACGATACTCATATTCTATAATTGAAATTTTTAACGTATCCATGGTGACGAAAAAAAATTCAAATGACGTTTAACATACGGATAAAAATGTAACTCTAATCATGACTAGTTTTGAAAAACAATTTCATGTTTTTAAAATAAAATTAATTTTAATTAAAATTCTTAACCAAACAAAAATTATTTTGATTTGAAATGGCCGATACTGCAGAATTTCATAGGTAAAGATCTGTGGCGGCGCTGTCGTCGCGCCGCAAGCGAAACACACCGAAGCCTAAATCATGCTATCAAAATTCCGAATCATAAACAGTATATATAGAACATCTCCGAACTATCACACGGAGTGTTCCCCGGGCAGAACACATTGCCCGGCGGGAGATTTCCCCTTTTCCTTCTACGGCCACAGACCCATCAAGCGTGATATCAAATAATAGACGTGAGAATGTTTCAAACCCGTATCGTAAATTATATATTATTAAAAAAAAAATGTCATTGTTGCCAGGTTTTTGTTTAGTGCATTTAAGTGGATATTAACTTCTTTTACTTTAATAAGTAATATAAAAATTAAGACCATATATAGATAAATTTGATATAAATCATATTAAAGATAAAAAAATTCTTAAATTATAAGTTATTAAAAATTTATTAAATGAATAAATTTTTATATTACTAATTAAATAACATATAAATAAACCTATTAATATGTCAAAAACCGCAAAACAGTAGTTAACCTATTATTATCGCATTCCATATTAGGAGAGTCCGATAAATTCCGTAACGCTGACAATTATATAATAAATCTAGTCCAGTTTAACCCTCAGAAGACACAAATTTGCGCGTTAACCGCTAAAAAGAACCCCTTTGTCGTAACTCCTCAGTTTCAAGGCACTCCCCTTGTTGCCTCAGCCAGTATCGGAATCCTCGGCGTCGACATATCGAGTGACGTGCAGTTTCGTGGTCACTTGGAAGAGAAGGCGAAATTGGCCTCTAAAAAGCTTGGTGTGCTCAGCAGAGCGGGACAGTATTTCATGTCGGCACACCGCCTGCAACTTTACATGGCGCAGGTTCGGCCGCACATGGAATACTGTTCCCATCTCTGGGCTGGGGCTCCCCAGTACCAGCTCCTTCCACTTGACCGCATCCAGCGCAGAGCGGCTCGAACCGTCGACGACCGAGTGCTTTCCGATCGGCTCGATTCACTGGCGCTGCGAAGAGATGTTGCATCTCTTTGCATTTTCTTTCGCATATACCACGGGAGTGCTCTGAGGAATTGTTCGGATTAATCCCAGCCGCCAAATTTAGTGAAAACACTACGCGGCAAACGTCCCGATACCATCCACACCATCTGGATGCCTGGCGGTCCACCACTGTACGTTTCACAAGGAGTTTCTTCCACGTACGACCTGTCTGTGGAATAGTTTACCACCGGCGATTTTTCCGGACCGATACGACCTGGGGACCTTCAAGAAAAGAGCTTACTCCTTTCTAAAGGGCCGGCAACGCACCTGCAATTCCCCTGGTGTTGCGGTTGATCAGGGGCGGTGGTAGTCACTTAACATCAGGTGAGCCGCATGCTCGTTTGCCCCTCTTCTATAAAAAAATTAAACTAAACAACAATAACTGTAGCTCAGTGGATCAGTACGCTGAACTGGCGCCGGCCATGTAGCTCTAACACAACCGATGACGAAACTTCCTGAAGGACATTATTATTAGATGGGTTGTACTAGCTATCTACGCGGGACAGGATTATAGTGTCCAAGTGAATACGCAAGCACAGGTGCACACACTATAACCTTACTCTTATAATCCGATGGAACGGTATTCCGACGCGATCGGAGAAATATCAGGCGCAGGACCTACAATTTACGTGCTTTCTTTGGCACACGGGTGAAATACCGCTTACTTTCGGCCTCTGGGCTACTGCTGAGAATTTGATTTGCTATTACCCATAATAAGGACCAATTATTACGCGTTACATATTGACGCTCAGGTTTGCAATGAAAGGAAAGTAGGTTTAGTTTTTATTGTATTTAAATATAATTATAAATTCCTATTATTTGATGATGGGGGATGAGTCGCTCGCGTCCGTAGGCTTCGACCACCTAACCTTAGGCCCACCCTACACGTGTCCCCCGGGTGGTGCTAAACGAGCAACAAAGCCGCAAAAAATAGACTCGGCTCCTCACCGTATGGTAGCGGCGTAAAATCTAGCACCACCCCTTGTTCGCACCATGACTCAGGAAATAAAAGAAATGGCTCCGAGTTCCCGGCGCCCCTTT